GGCCAGAAATCCTACAGAGGTTGTGTGGAAACACCTCAGTCCTGGGCGGTAGACATACAAATTTTCACACCGGAGAAAAGTGAGTCCCAGAGGAGTGAATGTGCATGTTAGCGGTAAAGCTCAGACTCACACTGAGCTCCGATGCGTCCCCACACGGCTGCCTCTGAAGCACACCTTCTCTGCTATATGTACCAGCTTGTTTCCTTCCTCCAAGAAGGTGAGGACTCAGTAAGTGCTGAGCATTAGGGAACCTCCCATAGCGGTGATGGTGAGATATCTCTGCTCTAGACTTCCCTGTGGCATCAGCTCCAGAGGGAGACAAGGTTGTTGACTCAGTCATGTTCTGTATGTACATCTTAAATCCCAGTTGCCTGAGGACACATTTCAGTCTGCTGTACTTTCATCTCGCGTAGGGCCAGATGGCATACTCTCTAGGACTGGGACAGCACAAGCCTTTGATGCATGCTGGTTGCTAAGACTGACTCATGCTCATGGAAGCAGAGGTCCGTAAAAAGAGGACCTCGCAACGTAGTCTCTACCCGTCTGTAGTAAGCAGCCTCAATTTGCTTGTCTTTAGAACATTTTACATCTGCTATTTTGGGGGTTGGTATTCCTTGACAGAGAGGAATTATGTAGTTGCGTGTAGAATTCCATTTACTTGCATAGTATTACACTTCCCATAGACTGATAGAAGCTCAGGCATGAAAAAATGTTTTGAAACTATTATCATAATGTTCTGACTGTGGATGATTAATAATCTGAAAAGAATTAGTTGCTTACAGGTTTGAAATTTAGTGTCATGAACAGTGTAATGATATGGCTAAAACAGCTCGTGAATATTAAGCTGATTTAACAGATGTAGAAAGTCCAGAACTAAGGATTTCACATCTGGGTTTTAGAGGACATATGTTAGGAGGGATGGCGAGAATGTGGAATCAAGGGCATATTGGTCAGGGCAGAAAAAGGTGGGCCTCACAGTGGGTGAAGAACAGCTCCAGGAATAGGCAAAAAAGAATATTCAGAAAGATGCAACTATATGCAATAGCCAAGACATGGGAGCAACCTAAATGTTCATCAGCAGATGACTGGATAAAGAAGTTGCGATATATTTATACAATGGAATACTACTCAGTGACTAAAAAAGAATAAAGTAATGCCATTTGCAGCACATGGATGGACCTGGAGATCGTCATTCTAAGTGAAGTAAGCCAGAAAAAGAAAGAAAAATACCATATGATATCACGCATATGTGGAATCTAAATAAAAAGGAAAAAGAAAAAAGACACTAATGAACTCATCTATAAAACAGAAACAGACTCGTAGACATAGTAAACAATCTTATGGTTACCAGGGGAAAGGTAGTGTGAAGGGATAAATTTGGGAGTTTCAGATTTTCAAATGTTAACCACTATACATAAAAATATATTAAAATACAGTTTTTTTCTGTATAGCACAGGGAACTATATTAAATATTATATAATAATTTTCAACAAAAAAGAATACAAAAATGAATATATGTATATATATGCATGTCTGGGACTTTATGCTGTACACCAGAAACTGACACATTGTAACTGACAATATACTTCAATTAGAAAAAGGAGCATTATGTCTGTTTCCTAATACAGCACTTAATTAGATTCATTATGTGTGACTCCAGCACCTTAATGGTAGGCCAATGCATAGAAAATGTTGATTCAGCGCAAGGCAGAATTTTTAAACATGAATCTCTCCTAGAATGGACTGGCCAGTGAGGAAGCAAGATTCTCATCGGATTACTCCCAAGAAGAGGTAAGCTGGCCCATTCTCAGGGAGGGCTACCAAGGTGGAAGTTCTTACCTCTAAAGTCAGTGATCATACTAATCAACCATTTTATTGGGTATATTATTTACATTATACTGTCCCAGTTTGAAAAAAAATCACTCGCCAAAAAGATAGCCTATATTGCGTTGTTCACACAGTTAATGGAGGTCTGACTCCAGTCTTACTAAACTTCAGGTCTTACCAATTCAGTATTCAGAAACTGATTCAGTGATTTGAATACTCATATTATTTAAATCATTACCACAGAGATTATAGGGTTGTCTTTTTTTAAGAAGAAAAAGTGATGGTTGGTATGGGCACATGTGAACACGCTGAGAAATAGAGGTTAATTTCATTACTGACATACTTGCCAAAAACGCGTTCTTTGCAAGTAAACCAACTCTCCATAATTGTGCAATTTACCGGTAGAATGACCAGAGAAGCTTAAGATTAGCAGATTTAAAAATATATAACCCATGCCTTTTTTCTAAGCTAAATAACGCTGTGCCACATTCTCATTCTAGCACTCAGCTTTAGATTTACTTAACAATGCTTACCAGCAGATAGCCAAAAAGGCTCGCCAAGCTGGACCAACTTTAAGATTTGTTTCCATGCTGGGGTGCTTCATGCACTTGGCAGAAGCAGCTCTAACTAGGGCTCCTTTATTACATTATGCTATAAACATTATGTCCTGAGCTAAGATACTCAACATGACAACCCCATAGGTTACCAAGCATCATAAACACCTGTTAACACAGGCACCAGAGACAGCACAAGAAAGCATCTAGTATCCACGTTTAAGAGGTTTATGATGTGGAGTCTGCTGTTTAAAAACTAATAATCAAAAACAGCCCAAAATTCTGCCTAGAACAAGTATTTGCAAGGCAAAGTTATGCTCAGTTTGAAAAAAAATGCACTCATGTCATCACTTTGTCAATTCATTTATAGCCTTTCCTTTCACACCTTTGCCCATTAAGTGTTGGCTTTCCATGCCATTCGGAAGACCAAAACTGTAATTTTGCTGCAATATATTTACTCCAAAAGAAAAGCTGAATGTTGACTCACCAAATTTCCTCAGACTCATGTGAAGCAAAAAGTTTACAAGGGTGAAAGGAGATGAGAGATGGGACATACTTAAGCTACAAATGATGCTTTCCAATGGTCTCTGGGCTTAAAACACATCTTTTCAGCTCCATCTAAAGTCCATCTGAAGGGAAACCATAAATGACCCAGACCTCCTGAAATCTAATCTGGGAACACTGAACTTTGCTTTTCTCAAAAGTAAAGCGATTCCTCAGTCACAGAAAAGATGGAAACAACAATCCTGTCTACTAAATCATTTTATTTCGTTTCAGTCCAGCATTTTAATTTCTGGAAATGTTTTAACACTAGTTATCTCCAAGGTCTATCGCTTGGCACCCCAGAGAAAGGACTTCCAGGGTGACCCAGAAGAAATAGCCTAGCGCACCAGTTGCTCAAGGCGCAGAGCTGCCGCAACACCTGTGAGGAAAGGAGGAGTGTCTTCCCAGGCACTCATACCAAGGAGTCTAAACACCCCAGCGGCTGTGGACAACAGCACCCTGGGAAGCCATAGATCCAGCTTGGGCCCGCGTCTCCGGGACTCTGCACCCATACATCCACACATCTAGAATTCCTGTCCTCCCTTTGCAGGTATCCTAAGAGTTCCAGAATCCTCCACCTCCAGCCCTCAGCCCTTCCAAGGCAACGGCTTTAGTGTTCTAAAGTCTGTGGTACTTAAGTCTTAGGGAGAAACTCCTGCGACTCCCCAACCCTCTGGCCTCCCGTTACCTTTCCCGGTCCTTCCCAAGGTCTCCCGGCGGCACAAACAGGCGGGCGGCACCTCTTTGGCCTCCGCCCCCGCCCCCCTACCCCCGCAGCACACCCTACTGGCTCAGGCTCCGACACGCCTCCCCAGGCGCACACACGCGCGCACACACACACAGCAGGCACGTACACCCGTTCAGCACACATACCCGCGCCAGGCCACCGACTCCCGCAGCCCGGCCCCAGCAGGCGTCCCCCATCCCCGGGTTATATATAAAACACTCAACCCACAATAGACTTACCCCTGCAACCGAAAGTGGGGGACCCTGCCAGGCACCCACTGCGCGCCGCCAGAGTCTTCTCTCCAGACCCGCCGTTACCGGACTCACCCGCGGCTCTCGAGCCTCGGGCAGTTCTGTCAAAACTTTAAACCTGGTTGATTTCATAACCACTAGCATGTCCAGGGCTGGGGAAGCTCGGCTCGTCACGATCTCCACCCACCCCCGCTCACGGGGACTGGTGGCCGTGACTCTACTGACCCCAGCTCCTAGAGTGTCAATGCGCGGCTGCAGCCCGCACAAACGCGCCAAGGGAGGTGCGCTTTGGGGAGGAGAGCGCGGTGTGGACGCGCACAGCCTGACAACCTCCCCTCTCCTCCCGCCTCGTCGCGGGGGACCTCTCCCCGCTCAGCAGCCGAGCCTCAGCGGTTCCTGCCCCAGCCCGGCTGATGATGTCAAACAGAAACATTCGCAAAACTTCTAAGTCTTTAACAAAACTGGCTTCGGAAGAAGCCCCTCCATGCACCACAAACACGGGTCGGAGCAAGCGCCAGCGTGGAAAGGTTCGCCTGTCACCCCCAACTCCCTGACGCCACCCCCCGCAACTTGCACACACATACGTCCAGAGCGTGGATCGGGTTACAACTACCCACCAGCAGAAAACAACTTCTTGGCGAGGAGAAGGGGAGTACGGCCAACCTCCAAGTCACCCGGAAAAAAATTATCCGTGTAAATATATAAGGCAGATCCCCACTTTCACAAACAACTGGCGTCCCAGGGTCCACTCCCAGGCCCCCTGACACAACAGGGGGAACGTAAGAGCTCGATCCCGGAGCCCCCTTCCAGTACCTCCGAGCCTCGCCTCCGGACAGAGAGCGCGGGTTCGCGTCCGCGTGTGGGCCGAGGGCGCAGGGCCCGCCGGCCTGCGTGGCCCCAGCCCGGGGTCCCCGCCGCCGCCTCGGCTCAGCAGCAGCAGCCGCCGCCGCCGCCGCCGCCGCAGCAGCCGCCGCTGCAGCCGCCGCCGCCGCCGCCGCTCCCTAGACCGCCTCCTCTTCCCATGGCTGCGCCCGGGCTTGGGCAGCTCTCGGGCTGTCAGGCTGGGGAGGGG